TATATATATATATGAATAAATAAATAAATAAATAAATAAATAAATAACTTTACTTTGAGTGCCAATGTATTTAGTTTATACAACTAATTGAAGACACTAAAATGAAACTGAAAATGAAGAAATAATCAAAGAAACAAAGTATTTTTAAGCGTACGAAACGAGTACGTGGGTATATTTTCGAACGCGACCATGGATTATAAAACGCTCACATTTCTCCGATCGCAAGCAGAGCTTGGTAATGGGTACCATTACTAGTACTTCCACTTTGTTTATGCTTAACAAGTAGACTTTTGCAGAGTTATGAGTGACTTCCGTTTTCTAAATGATTGATAATTAACCTCTGTATGATGTGGCGTGACCGAGAACGTTGCGTGACGTGACTGAATCAATAATACCTAATTGAATTCTAAATCAGGGGGAAAAACTTATTCAGGCCTTAAGACTTGGATATTAAATAAACATAATTTTCATGTTTTTAGAGTTTTAATTATCGTAGTAGTACTGCTCCTTTGCACATTATCTGGCTTTATTGGCTGGGCAATATGCAACTGGATAACCTGCAAAAAAGCCGCATCGAACGAAGCCAAGGTCACCCTTCCCAAAATAGACACTTCAGGAGGACCATATTCCAGAGGTGCTGTGGCAACAGATGCAGAAATGTGCTCCAAAGTTGGGGTGAAAATCCTTGAGAAGAATGGGTCGGCCGTTGATGCTGCTATTGCATCGATGTTGTGTGTGGGAGTGATTAACATGCATTCAACGGGAATAACAGGAAGTGGATTCATGCTCGTTTATAAACGAAGCACCAGGAGAACAGAACTGGTCAACTTTAGAGAAAAAGCACCAGGAAACTCATCCAGGGATATGTTTTTAAACAAGAAGAAGGAATCTCAGTTTGGTGAGTATACACCGACGTCACTGACAAGGAATCTCTGGCCCTGGCGGAGATATCCCGCTAGCCGTGATACTGATCGAACTTAGCTTGATTTCAAAGATTCTGACTTCAATCAGGAATCATCATTATCATCGTCACCATCATCATCATCACCAATATCATCAACACCATAATCATCAACACCATCATTAACTTTATCAAGTACCATCATCATCATCATTATTACTATTCGAATTTCCAGAAGCCAAAACTACACAACTGGATTGTGTTGTTGGTGTTACGAAAATAAGTATACTAACTACCAGAGAGTTTATCAACGTGACTAACTTGTTTGGCTGTGTGATAGACCCCCTTTTTGTTTCCTTCATAGGTGGAGCAGCCATTGCAGTGCCAGGTGAAGTCATGGGTTATTACGAAGCTTGGTCAAAGTATGGACATCTAAAGTGGAAGGACCTCGTACAACCTGCAATCGACATCGCTAAAAATGGCTTTAAAATTGGGACGCCAGTTTATGAAGCCGCGGACGAACTTCAGGGGCAGCTGAAAGAGGATCCCGGTCTAAGGTAGGTTACATGGAATTCTTTTCCAAAAGAACAAAACTGAATTTACATCTTTATTGAGCCCTAGCCTGGAACAATCTCTGGGCTGATCTAAGTTACAGATTGAATTGACTTTTGCATGTGGGGTTACAGAGGGAGGAAAACCGGAGAACGTACCCGGAGAAAACCCCCCAAATAAAGAAAAAGACCTAATCAGTAAACTCTACTCACTTGTCCCGGATTTTGAATTCAGCATTGATACTAACAGCTAGGGGAGAGCAGGACTGAATTCAAAACCCGGGACAGTTTTTCCATCGAAATCCAAACCTCAATCAAACATTAAAAATAGGGCTTGGTTGTTTTTTAAACCAGTAAAAACGCACGGGCTCGAATTTGCATTGAAATTCAAGGCTTAGGGCCGCATGCAAACCCTCGCCCTAACGTTTTAACCTTTATCTTAATGACTCAGTAACGTTGACAAAATTTGAATGCTGATTTTCTCTGTCAGAGAGCTGTTATTCGATGAGAAAGGAAACTTGCGTAAAAATGGAACTCTCATCACAAATCTGAAGTACGCAGCGACCCTTGAACAGATACGAGACGATCCTTACAGTCTGTATAATGGAACCCTGGCTAAAAACATCATTCGTGATATGAAGGACGTCAAGCCAGAGGGATTGCTCCAAATGGAAGATCTTGGAAACTATAGCTCTCAGATTGTGAAGGCATTTTCGCGTAGGTTTGACTCTGGTCATGTTTTGCACACAGCCCCGCCACCTACAAGTGGACCGCTGATGAACCTCATTTTAAACATCTTAAAAGGTAACCCCTCAAGCTTGCTTGCTTGCTTGCTATCTAGCTAGCTTGCTCGCTTGCTCGCTTGCTCGCTTGCTCGCTTGCTCGCTTGCTTCCTTCCTTCCTTCCTTCTT